CCACCATCACACTCAACACAGGCGTACCACAGGGCTGTGTGCTGAGCCCGTTCCTCTACTCCCTCTTCACCCACGACTGCAGACCTGTACGTGGATCCAACACAATCATCAAGTTTGCGGACGATACGGCCGTGGTTGGCCTCATCAGCAACAACGATGACACAGCCTACAGGGAGGAGGTACAGCATCTGGCCGCCTGGTGTGCTGACAACAACCTGCTCCTCAACACCAGCAAGACGAAGGAGCTCATCGTGGACTTCAGGAGAGAAAAAGGAAGCACGCACAACCCCATTCACATCAACGGGATGGCTGTTGAACGTGTCTCCAGCTTCAAGTTCCTGGGGACCCACATCACAGAGGACCTCTCCTGGTCCACTAACACCTCCAGTCTGGTTAAGAAGGCTCATCAACGCCTCTTTTTCCTGAGGACACTGAAGAGACACCACCTGTCTTCATCTGTACTGATAAACTTCTACCGCTGTGTGATCGAGAGCATCCTGACCAGCAGTGTCTCAGTCTGGTACGGAAACTGCTCTGTCACAGACCGTAAGGCGCTACAGCGGGTGGTAAAAACCGCCCAGCGCATCACAAGGTGTCCACTTCCTGCCATTGAGGATGTCCAAAGAAAACGCTGTCTGCGGCGAGCTCACGGCATCCTTAAAGACTCCTCCCACCCTGCCCACAGACTGTTTACCCTCCTGCCCTCCGGTAGGCGTTTCAGAAGCCTCCGGACCAGAACCAGCAGACTGAGGAACAGCTTTTTCCCCAGAGCTGTCTCTCTACTGAACTCTACCCCCGAACCTGAACTCTGTCTCTCTCTCTCTCTCCCTCTCTCTCTCCGCCCCTGCTGACCCCCCCCCTTTCCCCTGCATATCACCTCACACCCATCATCCCCCCACCACTCCTCCTGGTCACACACACACATCTCTCATCCACCTGTATTATTGTATTATACCTGTATTATTGTATTATAGTATGTTCATATCACCTCAATAAGTTATCGACCTGTACAATATGTCCATATTCTTTATATTATCTGTAAACTAGTATAGCATGCTCACTGCACCTTAATCTGTATATTATAATCCTAAGAATATACTTATATTTATAGCATTTATTTATATTTATAGCATCCCATTAATCCAGCCATCCATATATACCTAATAATTCACTTTTTTTAGTCTACATCTGTAAATTTTGTAATTACTGTACATAGCACAGACTCTTGCACTTTCTGCTTAGTTGCACTTCTGGTGAGATGCCAAACCTCATTTCGTTACTCTATACTTGTATATGTGTAATGACAATAAAGTTGAATCTCATCTCATCTCATATTAAGCAGTGTGTTAATGTGAGTAACTCTAAAATGATGCATAGTATAGTGTTCACATATCCACAGGTTAGTAGCTTCAGTCTGAACCATTACTTTTCCATATGCCAGTCTAGTTAAGTCTTTTACTGCACATGGTGGTAGTGTGTCTGGTTTTAAGTGTGTTCAAAAAAATAAAAAAGTTATGTGATCAGTTTCATATGTCCGTCCCATACAGGAAAAACCAGCCTAAAATATGCATAGGACTCTAAGTCATCTGTTTTTGTCTCTTCTTCCTCATTGGAGAACTATTTCCATAAAAAACAAACCCTTAAATACACTGTGGCAAAACTGCATCACTCTGCTAATCTCTCTCACACACACACACACACACACACACACACACACACACACACACACACACACACACACACACACACACACACACAAACAGACTTAAGTCACATTTGGGGACCGTAGTTTTACTTTACTGGGGACCTCTCTAAAACACCTTTTACACATGCACACAAATACAGATTTAAGTCACATTTGAGGGCCATAGGTTATATATTATATTTAGGGGGCATGGACTGTATAAAGAAAGGAGAGCGGAATAATCGCCTCAAGTGAAGCCCAAAGGACTAGAGCTCCCCCTGCTGACTGCACGCAGTTGTAAACCCTGCCTCCTTCACGTTAACAGAGGGTTCACAGCACCGCGCCGTGTGCAACAGGTAGCAGAGGAGGGCAGATACAGTGAGAGTCAACATAAAAGTCATTGAACTTTTATAATGCAAGTCCTTCAAAGCAACATGAGAATCTGTTCTGCTGTGGACTGTGTCGGCCTGAGAGGTCTTTGCACATTTTATTAGAAATGATGTGTGCTTTTGTTTGTGGAAGCACCAAGATGTCAATACCGCAGCTTTTCCAGCTGTTTCGTGCTGCATAGACTTTGGGTCCAAATTGCGCAACTCTTCAGCGCCCATAACAGGGGTATTTTGGCTTCATTTTTTAACAGCGAGAGGTGACAGCACCGTGTTGTCCATTCTTTATATGGTCTCTGGTAGGGGACCTCCTATCTCTCTTAATACACACACACACAAGACACACACACACACACAGACTCAAGTTAGATTTGGGGACCATAGTTTTACTTGTTCGGTACCTCCTGACTCCCTTACACACACACACACACACACACACACACACACACACACACACACACACACACACACACACACAGATTTTCCTCAAACTAATAATGACATGTACTGAAAGGTAGCTACAGCTATCTATGAAACCTGGGAGACATGACAGACTGCTTTGTCACCTTGTCACAGTACATCCCACACACACACACACACACACACACACGGGCCCATATGTTTTTCCAGGAATGCCACTGACCTGCATGCTTTCCTCAGTGACACAGACTGCCTGTCACAAAATTATCTGAAAATCTGTCTTGTGAGCAAAATGAGAGGGACAAAGTCCTGACACAGTATGATGTAGATGACAGGTTTCATTTAAAGTATGCTCTAAAATAAGCAAAAACCTAGACTGCAAAATCTTTCCAGAACATCTGAAAGGGTTATTTTATAAATATAAGTATATTCTCAATGCTGTCTCTGTGTTTTCCCCTTAATTTAACCCGCAAGCTGCATTGGCTTTTGTGTCTGAAAATGGAAATATCATTTTTCAGTAGCCTTTGTTAAGTCAGATAAGGAAACAGTTTGGTCTATAAAGTTGTTTCCCGCAACAGTTTGTTTGTTTGTAAAAAAAAAAAAAACGACGTCTACACACAAGGCTTAAGGCAGCCAGTGGGTGCAGCTTTTGAAAAGTTCATCTGCAACATTACAATGATGCTTTAAAAATACACAGGGAAAGTTTGAAGCTGTTGAGAAAACAATACATTCTTTATCAGTGAGAGCCAAGCAACATGACCTCAGCTTGTACAGCATCTGAAATCCCTAAAGTTGGAAGTGGATGACAGGAAGAGAATTGGGTGTGACTGATCAAGAAAAACTGGCCCATGATGAGTCAGTTTCTCCCTCCTAACCATTCTTAGAAATGACAAGTTGACACAAACTTCTAGTCTTTTAGGAGATAACACAGTGTCTTCATTTACATTTATATCAGCTGTTAATCAATTGTGGTCAAAACTACCATTCATCGACAAATTGACCTGTGGAGTTCAGTGAAATGAAATGAATTGTCCTCTAAAGTTAACACCCCGAGACACAATTGGTTCATGGGTGTGGTTTTACTGGTTGTGGCATCTGTGCTTGTCAAACCAGACTCTCTCTTTCTCTGTGTGAGCGAGATGAATATTATTGGTCTTTCTCCATGATGTAATGACTGGCTTGTAAAAACAAGGTTTATTTTAAGGTGAAAAATAACAAGTTAATCGAATATAGCTTCCTGAGAGTCTGAACCCAATACTGCCTCAAAACATTTCCTGCATTTTGTGAACTTGTATTTTGTCTCACAGCCTGTTATGTATTGTCAAAAACTCAAACATTAATTTAAAAGTTAATATAATAAATCAGTTTAGAAGTTGTTTTTTTTAATTCATGTTTTCCTTTGATTTAATATGTAAAACCATAAAACTATGACAATACAAAACTATTTTTTAGGACAAAGAGAAAAAAAACAGAGAAATGTTTGAATCTAGTTTTAAACTTTAATAATAATTACTCAAATACAAAATAAATAAAGGAACACATTTTAAATGCTGCACCTTATCCATTTAGTAGGATTGGGCTTTCTGTCTTGATTGTAATTCTTGGGTGTGTTCTGTTTTACAATTAAACAATTAAAACCATGCACTATAATGATAGGGCTGTAAACTTCTACTTATAAAAGCATTTCAATTATATCTGTTCCTTTACATTTCTAGAAAATGAAACACCATAATATAACAAGTTCATCATACTGCCCTATTTTAGTTCCCTGAAATTAAAAATGTCCTCTCTTTAATTTCTCAAGACATGATAACTTGTATATTTCCAAACTTCACTAATCAGCACGATAAAGACATTATTGTGTCTTAACGCCCTTTCTAAAAAGATACAATCGTGAGTCATTGGTGTAATGTTAAAACTGGTCTGAGTATGCTTACTGCTATACTACTTTACTAAGCAACTTCTCTAATAAAAAACCAAGACCCAAACTTCAAATCAGTGACTCTTATTTAAGAAAGTGAAAACTGGAGGAAAATATAAAAACCTGAACTATGTCACAACAAAAGCAACAGATCCATAGACTACTATATTGTTACTCAAGAACCGTTTGTTTTCAATGCTTTTGCAAAAATCCGATGTCTATACATACAAGTACTGGGAGCTCTGTATACCTACTGAACAAAATCTGGACTATTATCACAGCTGGATTTACCCAGCTGGGCTACACCCATCACGGTTCCATTTTATTTAAAAGGAAGGAGAGACAAATCAAAACAAGTGTTACCAGGAATAAGCATGACAATAAACCTAAAGTTCAATCCCTGCAATATGAAATTGTACTTTTTCCTGTTAAATATCAAAGGTTTAGGTTACAACAGATTCTATGAAGGTTATAAGTCAAACACAGTCATTGAGAAACCAAATGTATCATTCTAAGATTGAATTTTGAGGTTTTCTTTTCTCAACAAACTACTGAAAGTTTTCTGGGTGAGCATTTAATGTGTTGTTGAATGGTCTCTCAGTTCATCCTGTTTCAACTTTACAGTGATTTGGCCCACATTTTCGAAGTACGTTTTCTGTCATAAAGCTGGTATTTCATAAGCTACTGACGATAACGTCTGTTACATTTTCAGTTTAACATCCTGTTAACAGTTTAAGACGTTGTCTATCAAAACTCAACAGATGTTCAGATGAATTTCTTACCTTGGTTGTGTGTTGCTGTCAATATGCAGTGATGTGTGTGTAACCTGCTGCTGAAGTAGAGTCCAGATAACTGAGACATCCACCTGTTTCACCTGTACCTGTACAAGGTTCTCTCTAGCCCCGCCCAAAGCCAGCCGTCATCCACAAAGACATGATTATCCACATCAGGAATGAGTCACTTATCCTTCTGTATGATGTTGTTTTAATAGTATTGGATCATTGCCATACCCTAACTTCATCCACACACAGATCACCTGTTAGGAGAATGGAATATCAAATGAAACATTGCAAAATTGAAAGAGGTGTTATTTGGGCATCTTAATAAAATGTGCTGCTGATGAATTGTGAAAATGCAGCTAAACACAGTCTGACTTTCATATGTGTTTGTCTCCAGTCATACATTCAGTGTAAGCATGTGGACTACCGGTCAGAGCGGATAGAGGACTACTATGACATCCAGCTCAGCATAAAAGGAAAGAAGAACAGTGAGTAGACGCATCAACACTAATCCCTGGTTTCTAGAATGAATCGGTAATGTTAACTGTTAATTTGTCACTCTGGCATTGGCTTGAGTGACTGTTGTCTGTTGACAGCTATTTTATTCAAAGTGTCCTATATAGATGATATCTTTTTCTGCTTATTTCCAGTCTTCGAGTCATTCAAAGACTACGTTGCAACTGAGCAGTTAGATGGAGACAATAAATACAACGCAGGAGAGCATGGCCTGCAGGTGAGAGTGCACAGTGATTGGATTTATGTGATTTATATGACTTTATTCTAGTTTATTTTTGTCTACGTATTTTTTAATGTTTGAATTATTTTTCTATATTGAAGCTGGTATTCAAGGTAATTCAAGTCAAACTTTTATTTCTAATCTGTCAACATTTGAAGCATGATCGTCTTGAGTATGCAGCTTCAGAAGAAATTAAGAGACCAATTGAATTTTCACAAGTGAATTGTAAACTGTGTTAGGATACATAGCGACGCAGACCAGTCAGGCAGTGCCACTTTTAAACATCTTTTCTCCCTCATGAGGTCATAATCATACATTTAAACCTAACGCTGGTGTATTGAGTGCTGTTTTTGACTGAAAGACTCATAAATTAAAATCAGCGAGTGATGGGCATCTTGACTCGCAGGCTGTGGGTCCGTACTTTTGCAACTTTCCCCAAAGGCTGAGCACTCCAGTATTGTACTGCAGCTAGTAGGAATGCAAATACCAAAAAACAAAAAAAGGTGGTACTAAAGAGCTGCACAGAAATGTCATGTTGTGGACACTATGGAAGTCATCACACAGGACAACAGTTTTAATCTCTTTTTTTTCTCTGTGGGAGACCCCCCCTCCCAAAAAACAGACTGCATTTCATACATAAGTGCAACTTATATTCTGGACTTTATGGTGCTTAATAGCTGTTGCGCAAAACTTGCAATACAACTTGTGCACGGATTGTTGAGACTTTTTTGACATATTTGTTTTTATTTTTGCAGGAGGCAGAAAAGGGAGTGAAGTTCCTCACCTTCCCTCCGATCCTTCACCTGCAGCTGATGAGGTTCATGTATGACCCACAGACTGACCAAAACATCAAGATCAACGACAGGTAGAACAAACAGAAGTGCTCAACACGCGCACACACCTCTTATTACATATTTCTTACATGCCCGTATTCCAACACACACATATTGCCAAGCTTGAATTAGGTCACTGTCACACTCCCACAATGCGTCTGTGGCTGGTGCACAGACATAATTTTAGTGACAGGTCTGGTCTATATAAACCTAGGTTAAAAGATCAGGCTATTTCCAGAAACAGGACAGTGAACAGCACACCATGACTTCCTGCAGTGAGAGAAAGTGAGTCACAGAGAGTGTTTCCTGTTGGCTGTATAATTGTGTGTTATGCTTTGTGAGAGCTAATGCTGGTTTAAAAATCCTCCTGGATAATGTGACACATGAGGAGCACACACACATACTGCCTACAGACTAGCTTATTCTGTCTGTTGCGTTTCAACAAGCTGTGAGTCATAATTGTGACGAAACCACAGCACCTGGCCCCCCCGAAGGCTTTGTTTATTTACACGCACACACACACACACACAATGTTTTCCTTTTTCACTTATCCTGCTCCCTGTCTTAACCTTTTGTCCTTTTTATTTTTTCAAATCTCTCCTTTCCTCATCTCTAATTCTTGTTTTCAATCTTTTCACACTATGCCCCCCCCCCCATCGTTCCCCATCTGTCCATCCTCTCTGCTGCCCTCCCCTGTCTTCACTAGATTTGAGTTTCCAGATCAGTTACCCCTGGATGAGTTCCTCCAGAAGCCAGACTCCAAGGATCCAGCCAACTACATCCTGCATGCAGTTCTAGTGCACAGCGGGGACAACCATGGCGGTCACTACGTCGTCTATCTTATTACGTCGTCATCTTTTTTTTTTACACACCTTTCACTCCAAAATTCTGTGGACGTATTTGGGGTTTCTGCACTATGAGCTTAAATGTCAACACTGTCTCTTGGTAATACTGCCAGGGTTTTTTTTTTTTCGCACTTAGGTTATCCAGCCATTGACTCCTCAAAAGAGATTGCATTAAACTGATATTTCCTGTTTTCAATTGAGTTTTATTTAACAATGATAGAGAAATCTAAAGGCTGTCAGTCATTTTTAACGGATTAGAGGCTAACTGCAATCTACTATATCATTAAAAACAGTATTATAACATAGCTACATGTATTTTAAGAACTTTAATCACCGTAATAACCCAATGTTTAAAGTCTTACTACAGCTATTAACTGTATATTGCACTTTAATTTTGGCCTTGAGAACATAATGTAAAAGCTGGAATCAGCGACTTGACAAAGATTAAACTAGTGTCTAAATAAGTTATTCCAGAAGTATAGAGGGTTGCTACAACTAGGTGAATCATTTGCTGAGCTGCCCACTCAGATTCTGAGTTGACCAACAAGCAGTAACATAAGTTACTTGGTGTTAGAAAATGTCTCGTATCTAAAGATCAGAGGATTCAAAGCCAGTGTTGGAATCGTGACTAAGCGGCATAAGTTCTGCCTGTCAGTAGTGGACTAAAAACCAACCAACACAGCTTTTGTTGCTGACAAAGCACATGACTTTATTTAAGCTAAGTCTTTGTATTGTCTGTGTTTTTTCATTAGAAATGTTTAATCTGCAAATTTGCAGTGCAGCCCCACAGACTTGGGGTTTATGAGACACAAACCAACACTGACTTCAAAGAGGGGGACAAAATCACAGATTGACAATATGCCACTCAATATATAATTTCTTTAAGGTGGGATGAAAACGGATGAAATAAGTGTAAAATCTATGTGAATGCTTTCACAAGGCAATTATGAAAAATAGATGACTTCTTAGTGAATGTTCAACATTATGAGGCGTTGTTGATCAATACAACTTCAGACCATCTTCACTCTTCTGTGATGCTCTGCCGCTGTGACTGTAGATAGTGCTGAGAGTGTTACCAAGGAGGTGGAGCAATCAGAAGCTTATGAATATTTAGCATTAGAAGAACAGATTAATGTTTATTTCAACTTCATTAATTAGCAAGTTGACACTGGGCTTCATTGACAGCATGTAAAGATGACTACACATACATTGTCAATAAAAACTACATAAATACAGTTGTTTCTATTGCACAAATGGTTGTCTTAAGTGCTTTTTGGTTTTCTCCCACACCTTCCTCCTCCTCTCCACCCCTCTCTTTTCCATCATTCCAACACTCTCTCTAGTGGTGCAAGTTTGATGATGATGTGGTCTCAAGGTGCACCAAGGAGGAAGCCATAGAGCACAACTATGGTGGACATGATGATGACCTGTCAGTGCGCCACTGCACCAACGCATACATGTTGGTCTACATCCGAGAGTCCAAGCTCAGTGAGTACCACACCGTGCTGTATTAAACGAAAGAAACAGAAGATTAAACCCCTTCTTGCATTCTCTCAAACCTGTGAACATTAAGTGCTGATTTAAATCTTTGTTGGTCTTTTAAATGACTACTGCACAAAGGTTTAAGGCCTGCCCAATTTGCATGCAGCTTCAGTTCTTACTTGCATCTCTCCTTGTACCCCAGGTGAAGTTCTCCAGCCAATGACTGATGTAGACATCCCGCAGCAGCTGGTGGAGCGTCTGCAGGAGGAGAAACGGGTGGAGGCACAGAAGAGGAAGGAGCGCCAAGAGGCTCACCTCTACATGCAGGTCCAGGTAGGAAACAACAACAATTGTAAGCTGTTGAAGCTGGTCGGCTGAGTGCAAAACTGCTTACTCTAGCATCATGATTATACCTGCACTGAAGATCATCATACTTCATTCTTTACTTGTAGTCTATTAACTGCTATCACCTGCTGCAATTCTTCAAACCTCGGCAGCCCAAGAAACTGTACTACCAGCAGGTAGGAGCCGTTTGCACGTTCTGCAACTTTTAGTTGTGTTTAGTAAATTGCTTGTTTTTCTGAGACATCCACAATGGGGCCAATGAGATGACAATAACTTTTCAAATAATTCTTCTTAATTTTCTGTTTCTGATTTTGTTTACTTGGTCAATCTTAACATTCCGTTTTCCCCCTTATCCATACTTGAGATTCTAGCCTTGTCTTTTAATTAGAACTGCAAAGAAAAGTTGATACCAACAAGGTGCTAGGCAAATTTAAGAATTTGCTTCTTTTCTTGGTTTTAGATTTTAGCAGGATGATAAATGAAGCCATTTAATAGATTTTAACTTGTGCATTTTCACAATTCTTTAAAGACCAAGCGATTAAATGATGGGCTTAGAGTTTAATTAGCAGGTTCATTAATCATGTTGAAATAGAAGTCCTTCAAAAACATTTGTTCAGACTTTCTTAGTCAGCCAGAAGATTTCACTTCTTGAGTGTCTTGCACTTAAACAGACAGAGACTACCAAAAATAGATCATACTAGAAAAATGTTTATTGCCATAAGCAGAGGTCAAAGACAGTACATTTAATCTGTGTGCGTCTCCACTAGAGTCAGCTTCAAAGTTTTACAAATAAAAGAGCAATGTATAAATTAAGAGTAGCGGGTCAGTAAGTTTCCATTTAATGTAAACGCTGTAAAAGAAGCTTTGAAGTTGGTAACCTTTTCCCAACCATTTCAATACCTTCTCTAAAGTAGCTGTCTTGACAAAACCTCTTCTCTGGCATATTTCCTATCAGGAGATTCCTCTGGACCAGGTGGACTTGGATAAAGACAGTGAAATGCTAATTCCTGTCGCCCACTTCCACAAGGAAGTCTTCGGCACCTTCGGGATCCCCTTCCTGCTCAAGATCAGACAGGTGTGTGTGTGTGTGTGTGTGTGTGTGTGTGTGTGTGTGTGTGTGTGTGTGTGTGTGTGTGTGTGTGTGTGCATGCTTTTGATCACCCGTGTGTTAAGAGAGAGTTTGCAGTCCAGGTTACATCATTTATTTCTCTGTTCTCACTCTCTGTGTTTGTCTGGTTGTTCCTATCTTTCATCTCACACCCCAACACAACCACCTCAGGGCGAGTCATTTCGGGAGGTGATGAGGAGGATCCAGACCATGTTGGAGATTCAGGAGAAAGAATTTGAGAAGGTACAACACCTTCTGATGGATATGTACCATTTTTTTAGCTTCTGGCTAAAATAACCAATCCACTTAGTTCTTAAGATGAGACTTTTAACAAATGGGTATTTTTTGTGTTTATCCTCAGTTCAAGTTTGCGATTGTGATGATGGGACGGCATCAGTACATAACTGAAGACGAGTACGAGGTCAACCTGAAGGACTTTGAACCACAGCCAGGTATTTGTCTACTGCTTCTGCTGCTGCTGACACACTGCTGCTGTTCGAATAAATGTGTAAACAGCAACAGTGTAACAGCAACATATCTCTTAAAACAAGATAAATTAAGATGCCATAAGTAAGACACAAATTATATTTAATCTAAAATATCTTCAGTTTTACCATATTTTTGTTTTGTCATTAACCAACTTTAAAAAAAGAACCTTATTATAACCTAAGACAGCCATAGTGACTTCACTTTTCCTTCTGGAAGATGTGTTTTAACTCAAGTCGTAGCAATTCATTTCAACTCATTTATAAACAATAACAGCTGCCCAGAAGGGCTTCAAATTGACTCCAAAGTGCTTTGGGTCAACTCCTGTTGCAGGTAGTTCAATGCAGGTATAAATGTGTTGAGAAGAAATTCAATAACAATGTAGTAAAAGTCTAAATGGTAAATGGACTTGGCTTGTAAAGCACTTTTCTAGTCTTCTGATTACTCCAAAGCGCTTTTTACACCTCATGTCACACCTACGCATTCACACACTTATTGCAGAGGTTACTATGTGAAGTGACCATCAGAAGTCATGAACCTAATTCATACACATTCATACCCCGCTAACGAGGCAGCGGGAGCAACTTGCTAAAAAATGTTAATTTCATGATTCAGGACCAAAGTGCAGTGGGGTAATGACTAAGTTTGCCCAGCAGAGGGCGCCCACTTCCATAAATTCTCTGTACACTCAACAATCATGTCACACAACCTTAATGTACGTTTAAAGAAAGCGGACGCTACACCTACCTGGAGAAAGCAATCAAGATCCACAACTAAAAAAAGCTGCCCGCCCCTCCTCTTTGTCCTCCTCATCCTCCTCCTGCCTCCTGCTCCAGCTCCGCCTTCCTCCCTTCCTACTTTAACACCATAACCACAGACTGTAACCAACCGTGTGAGTTTGTGTGTGAGAGACTGCGTGTGTGCGTGCTTGTGTGTGTGTGTTCATCACTTTTAACACCCGCCTGGACACCTCTACAGCTCTACACCGGCACTATGTCTTCGGAAAAATAGATTTTGCTTTTTAGAATTGTATATTTAAAAATATGAACGTGTAAAATTTAAGAGAAACACACGCCTTTGTTGTTGGGTACAGGAGGAGCCAGGTGTTCATATTTCTTGTGTGTAGGGTTTTCTCTTTTTCTTTGCGTTCCTGATGTACCATTGACAATTTTTTTCTGTTACATTTGGAATTTCTTTCTTTTTTTTTTTTTCTTTAAAAACTAACTGCATTGGTTTTGTCTTGTTAAAAAGTGCAGTACAAAGATGACCTGCAGAATCACACCTAATTTGATCTTTTCCAGTTTAAAATCCTCAGTGTAGCAGCAGTGTACGACAACTATTCCTGTATATTGCCTTTTGCTGGAAAATGTATGTTGAATAAAATTTTCTATAAAACCTAAAGCACTGTTGCTTGTCCATACTAGTGTTCGACCTCAACAACTTGAAGGGAAAGTTGACTTTTCAAGATGTACTATTGTCTGGTGGTGGATAGTAGAATGAAAGGATTCATGCTGAACTTTTGTCGGTTTATTGCAATGTAAAATAAAAGCCGGCATGGAAGTAGAATAGCTTTAAAATTGCAATTTGAAGCCGGGGGAAACAGCTAGCCTTGCTCTTTCCAAAGGTTTCAAAAGCTACCTTCCAGGACCTCAAGATCTCCCCAATTATTCTGCAATGTCTAATTTGGCTTATCCTTACAAGTGTAAATTAAAATGTGTCTCTGGCTGTTAATGAGCCAAACCTCAGCCAAGAAAAATACCTACATAGTTCCCTGTAGCAACCTCCGGTGTTGGAAAATGAAGCCAATGCGGATGTGCAAAATCCTGCAGTTCATCCAGTGTCCGCTTGAGGCTGGCTGCAGAAGTACTCGATGTCACATACGCACCAAGACAAAACAGCCGGCTTATACAGCAGCAATCAACATGTTTACAGCTTGGTACAAAGAACCAAATAAGGTTTGATTAGCTCAGGTCTCCTCTGGAACACACTGTACAAGGAGTGACTTTTGATAACTCATCTATTTTGATTTCATGCTGGATAATAAGCGTTATTCATAAAAATGGCGTGGAACTGAACAGGCGGGCACGATGTAACGGTTCATCCAGAGGCTTCAAACCCGTCTCAGCTCTTAGCCTGTCGTTAGCTTGACTGAGAGCATTTCAAGCATTACCACTACCGTCGATGACTCCTGCAGCCCAACGGTGACTTCACTCAGGTGTCGTCCATTAATATGTACAGTCTCTGGTTCTAACCTGTGTTTACTAAGCTAATTGGCTGTTGGGGGCAGCTAGCTTCTAAATGAGAGACAAAGATTAAAAAAAAATATTACCTTTAACTTTTAGCCACAAAGCAATGAAGTGTTTCCAAGACTGTTGGACTCTTTGGTCAGGAACTTTACCTTTTAGTTTACGTCACATGCTACTGGCATGGGGAGAAAAATGATCCCTGTTACCTTTAGTTATCCTTAAATTTATTTTAAGAATCTTCCCAGGAGTCTAAGACTTGCTCATGTTCAATGAAGCTTTTTAATTTTAATTGTAGAGCCATGCAGCATGCTTCAGGATGGAACATGTCTTCTGAAGAAGTCAGAGAAACTTGTGAAGAGTGCTCATGCTGCCTTGTTACTCGAGGTGAACATGTGATTCATCAAACATCAGAAGACTACACACAGCTGGCTTAGGAAAAACTATCCTAAATGCTAACATGCAGATAGTAGCAGTAATGCTCACTAGAATAATTTACTTTATGAAATAATCTGTATTTTGGACGGCTAGGTAGAAGACAAACAGAGAAACAACACAACCGTCTGTCATATATCATCTAGTGTACTTTTATTAAGGAAATAATGATATAAAATAGATAATAATAGCACATAACAGAAGTCCAACCATACTAGGTTTCATTTAGTGGAAAATGTGCAGACGAGTCACATCCCACATAACAATTTTCCTGCTTTCTTGAAATCTTTTTCATACACGCTAGAACAACGAAGCAATCAGACAAAAAAAAAATATTGTATTTCTTAGTAGATGTTAGTTCAACACAGAGATGGTCATCGAGAGGATTTAAAAAAATTCAGCGTCTTGATCGATGGCTCAACAAATACGCTGACTGCCACTGAACACCTCCCATCATTGTGTAGTCTTGCTTTAATATTGCATTGTTCTTTGCATTGTTATGCATCAAAGTGACATCTTTCTTAGAATAAAAGAGTTAAATGAGGTGTAAACATATAAATATAATATAAAAGGAGTCACACTGGATTTAAATATTGTCTACGTTTAATTTTTGACTAACAATAAGGTCTCTAGTTTTTTTCGTTGGCGTTGGCTTCTTTTTTTTAGGACTGTTTTATACCTTAAAATAGGAGACTGGTCTGTTTTACATCAAATCCACAATCCCTTTAAAAATAGAATATTTGTTGAAGTGTATGTACAAGCCTTCATTTTAATAACATCATGTATGCATATATTTCTGAGAAGATTAACAAGTTTTTCTCTGCTGAGACAAAAAAAAAACTGCTTACAAAAAGTGCAAAAAGGGCGTGCTCGATTTAACTTGTCAGAGCTCTTGACAATACAATCACTCCCAGTCTGTTTGCAGATAATATGATGTATGATATCAGATAGACTTATGCCACTGCACATCCATAGAAATAAACATGAACATCCCTAACACAGACAGAGGTAACAGGATGTTATTTCATATTTCTATGGGTCCATTTCTGCCCCTCATGCTCGTCATTTATTTACAGCATTTCCTCTTCTCCACATGCAGCACTCTATTGCAGCGGGGGCACGTGTGGTACGCGTCCTTGAACCTCTTCATGAAGAAGGGAATCAGGCAGCAGCACAGGATTAACCTACAACACACATATACAATGCACTGTTAGCGTCATGTAGCACTGCAGAAGACATGTTTTTTTTTTTTTTCACTTTTTAGACACTGAGGCAAAGTTAGCTTCCACTGCTGTCTGCATGAGTTGGTCTATTCTTCATATGCACACATATTTTTCACTGTAATTTGTAGGTAATGTAAACGGAAAGCGCATTGCATTCACCAAATAAAATAAAATGACACATATTATCTCATAATTACGAGATCAGGAAGATGGGCAAACTATGACAAGCAATCCAGAAGCGCACACTCACCCGCAGCAGATGAAGAGTAAGCACATGAGCCAGGCGTACGTCCCTGCTTTGTAGGTGACATTGGTCATGACCTGTTGCTGGCAGGACGTGCAGGACGTCATTCCTGGAGAATCCCCGAGTGCTGAATCGTAGCTCACAAACCGTCTTTTGCCATCACCACTTTCCAGACCTGAACCAACACCTCCGCCTCCGCTGGTGAAGACTGGTAGAGTCAGAGAGATAAAGGGATGGGGGAGGGGTCAGTAAAGTGTTTATAAGAAAATAAACTTCAGTTTTTGACTGGTGTCTTTAGGAGAGTGTTACTTCAGGTGTGTGTTTACCTGGCTGGACATTAGCCGCGTTGGTCCCGTGGTTCTGAAAATCGAAGGGGCTGTGGACCTTGTAAACCGTCACTCCATCCCCTTGGCTTTGACCTTGACCTTCTACTTGACCAAAGACAAGATTGAGTCAGTGAGGCAGTCCAACAACAATGATTGTAACAATGTGCTCGCTTGTGTTTACGTTTACCTGGTATGATGTAGGGAGGGAGTTGCTTTTTTCCATCTGCACTCATTGTGCTGCAGAGAGAGAGAGAATACACAAAGATATGTTAACTAAGAAAAGCCCTCATGAAAATACCTTTCAATACATTTCCCACACCTTGTCCCTGCTTGAAACTACTTCAACATATTCTTCTGCCACCAGATAGCGCCAAAGCCAGAATGGCAGATCTTGAAACTTGTGCTACTTGTGACTGTTGTCTCTTCCTGAGTAATATTTAGCTCAAAGTGAAGTGAATCAGTTGTTGGTACAGAGAATATTTACTACATTGTGAAGTTGTTTTTTGTCAGTAGCCCTGAGGGGAAACGCCTGGGCGGGACTCAGTCTGAGGTGTGATGATTGACATGTTTCAGGGTGTGGTCGCTAAATAAAAAGTTGTTTTAGCGTCTTAGGCAATTCACACTGAAAATCTCGAAAGCTGACTGAGATACTGCAGGGATTTGTTTACATATAACGATTTATCAGAAATGTCACTATGCCTTCTTTCTGATGGACATGGTGAACTTCTACTAGACATTTAAACAAGTCATTCACATGATACGACTCGCGAAACAGCATTGTGTTCACAACTGTTTCCCTACTAAACAGCTTTCTGTATCAACTAAAGTAGTGGTGTGACTGATGTTTATTTGAAATGTAAAAATATTGCTTGCTTCTTTGCTTGTTGAAAATCTGCATCTGTGGTTGCGTTTGGCTTTCACTCGCACTCTGGCACATTGATTATCAATATATTTTACATGTCGGTGACAAAATAAAAACATGCTGCTGCCTTATTATATAGAAAATATATTTTTTAATAAAACATCGCAAGACTGCAATTCAAGCAACACACAGCCATCAGACAGTGGATGGGTGGAGGGATCAAGTCATGTTAAACACTAGCTGACGTGTTAGAAGGCTAAATCAAAGTCTCTCATAACCCTGACAGCTATAATCTACATTGATTACTTCAAGTATATTTCTCTGCAGCACAGATGAGGAGCATCTCTCAGAGTGCGACATGGCCTCATTAAAACATCATTAGCATTCTCCTGATGTGACACATATCTGATCTACAAATAAGGTAACACCGTCTAGTTTTGACATGATATTAAGTGCCTATTTTAAACAATGTGTTTAAATGTATGTATGTATTGCTTGTAGAGCTAATACTCAAGCACAGCTTTGTTTATTTGGCTGTTCTTGAAAGGAAATATACAGTTATATTAAGCAATGTGTTAATGTGAGTAACTCTAAAATGATGCATAGTATAGTGTCCACAGGTTAGTAGCTTCAGTCTGAACCATTACTTTTCCATATGCCAGTCTAGTTAAGTGTTTTACTGCACATGGTGGTAGTGTGTCTGGTTTTAAGTGTGTTCAAAAAAATAAAAAAGTTATGTGATCAGTTTCATATGTCCGTCCCATACAGGAAAAACCAGCCTAAAATATGCATATGACTCTAAGTCATCTGTTTTTGTCTCTTCTTCCTCATTGGAGAACTATTTCCATAAAAAACAAACACTTAAATACACTGTGGCAAAACTGCATCACTCTGCTAATCTCTCTCACACACACACACACACACACACACACACACATAAACAGACTGAAGTCACATTTGGGGACCGTAGTTTTACTTTACTGGGGACCTCTCTAAAACACCTTTTACACATGCACACAAATACAGATTTAAGTCACATTTGAGGGCCATAGGTTATATATTATATTTAGGGGGCATGGACTGTATAAAGAAAGGAGAGCGGAATAATCGCCTCAAGTGAAGCCCAAAGGACTAGAGCTCCCCCTTCTGACTGCACGCAGTTGTAAACCCTGCCTCCTTCACGTTAACAGAGGGTTCACAGCACCGCGCCGTGTGCAACAGGTAGCAGAGGAGGGCAGATACAGTGAGAGTCAACATAAAAGTCATTGAACTTCCATAATGCAAGTCCTTCAAAGCAACATGAGAATCTGTTCTGCTGTGGACTGTGTCGGCCTGAGAGGTCTTTGCACATTTTATTAGAAATGATGTGTGCTTTTGTTTGTGGAAGCACCAAGATGTCAATACCGCAGCTTTTCCAGCTGTTTCGTGCTGCACAGACTTTGGGTCCAAATTGCGCAACTCTTCAGCGCCCATAACAGGGGTATTTTGGCTTCATTTTTTAACAGCGAGAGGTGACAGCACCGTGTTGTCCATTCTTTATATGGTCTCTGGTAGGGGACCTCCTATCTCTCTTAATACACACACACACAAGACACACACACACACAGACTCAGGTTAGATTTGGGGACCATAGTTTTACTTGTTCGGTACCTCCTGACTCCCTTACACACACACACACACACACACACACACACACACACACACACACACACACACACACACAGATTTTCCTCAAACGAATAATGACATGTACTGAAAGGTAGCTACAGCTAGCTATGAAACCTGGGAGACATGACAGACTGCTTTGTCACCTTGTCACAGTACATCCCACACACACACACACACCACACACACACACACACACGCCCATATGTTTGTCCAGGAATGCCACTGACCTGCATGCTTTCCTCAGTGACACAGACTGCCTGTCACAAAATTATCTGAAAATCTGTCTTGTGAGCAAAATGAGAGGGACAAAGTCCTGACACAGTATCATGTAGATGACAGGTTTCATTTAAAGTATGCTCTAAAATAAGCAAAAACCTAGACTGCAAAATCTTTCCAGAACATCTGAAAGGGTTATTTTATAAATATAAGCATATTCTCAATGCTGTCTCTGTGTTTTCCCCTTAATTGAACCCACAAGCTGCATTGGCTTTTGTGTCTGAAAATGGGAATATAATTTTTCAGTAGCCTTTGTTAAGTCAGATAAGGAAACAGTTTGGTCTATAAAGTTGTTTCCCCAACCTCAGAGTTTGTTTGTTTGTAAAAAAAAACAAAACTGACGTCTGCAGGCTTAAGGCAGCCAGTGGGTGCGGCTTTTGAAAAGTTCATCTGCAACATTACAATGATGCTTTAAAAATACACAGGGAAAGTTTGAAGCTGTTGAGAAAACAATACTTTCTTTATCAGTGAGAGCCAAGCAACATGACCTCAGTTACAGGATCTGAGGAAAGTTGGGTGGATGACCCCAACCTCAGAGTTTGTTTGTTTGTAAAAAAAAACAAAAACTGACGTCTGCAGGCTTAAGGCAGCCAGTGGGTGCGGCTTTTGAAAAGTTCATCTGCAACATTACAATGATGCTTTAAAAATACACAGGGAAAGTTTGAAGCTGTTGAGAAAACAATACTTTCTTTATCAGTGAGAGCCAAGCAACATGACCTCAGCTCGTACAGCATCTGAAATCCATAAAGTTGGAAGTGGATGACAGGAAGAGAATTGGGTGTGACTGATCAAGAAAAACTGGCCCATGATGAGTCAGTTTCTCCCTCCTAACCATTCTTAGAAATGACAAGTTGACACAAACTTCTAGTCTTTTAGGAGATAACACAGTGTCTTCATTTACATTTATATCAGCTGTTAATCAATTGTGGTCAAAACTACCATTCATCGACAAATTGACCTGTGGAGTTCAGTGAAATGAAATGAATTGTCCTCTAAAGTTAACACCCCGAGACACAATTGGTTCATGGGTGTGGTTTTACTGGTTGTGGCATCTGTGCTTGTCAAACCAGACTCTCTCTTTCTCTGTGTGAGCGAGATGAATATTATTGGTCTTTCTCCATGATGTAATGACCGGCTTGTAAAAACAAGGTTTATTTTAAGGTGAAAAATAACAAGTTAATCGAATACAGGTTCCTGAGAGTCTGAACCCAATACTGCCTCAAAACATTTCCTGCATTTTGTGAACTTGTATTTTGTCTCACAGCCTGTTATGTATTGTCAAAAACTCAAACATTAATTTAAAAGTTAATATAATAAATCAGTTTAGAAGTTGTTTTTTTTTAATTCATGTTGTCCTTTGATTTAATATGTAAAACCATAAAACTATGACAATACAAAACTATTTTTTAGGACAAAGAGAAAAAAAACAGAGAAATGTTTGAATCTAGTTTTAAACTTTAATAATAATTACTCAAATAAAAAATAAATAAAGGAACACATTTTAAATGCTGCACCTTATCCATTTAATAGGATTGGGCTTTCTGTCTTGATTGTAATTCTTGGGTGTGTTCTGTTTTACATTAAACAATTAAAACCATGCACTATAATAATAGGGCTGTAAACTTCTACTTATAAAAGCATTTCAATTATATCTGTTCCTTTACATTTCTAGAAAATGAAACACCATAATATAACAAGTTCATCATACTGCCCTATTTTAGCTCCTTGAAATTAAAAATGTCCTCTCTTTAATTTCTCAAGACATGATAACTTGTATATTTCCAAACTTCACTAATCAGCACGATAAAGACATTATTGTGTCTTAACGCCCATTCTAAAAAGATACAATCATCAAACAAGTGTTACCAGGAATAAGCATGGCAATAAACCTAAAGTTCAATCCCTGCAATATGAAATTGTACTTTTTCCTGTTAAATATCAAAGGTTTAGGTTACAACAGATTGAAGCTTATAGGTCAAACACAGTCATTGAGAAACCAAATGTATCATTCTAAGATTGAATTTTGAGGTTTTCTTTTCTCAACAAACTACTGAAAGTTTTCCGGGTGAGCATTTAATGTGTTGTTGAATGGTCTCTCAGTTCATCCTGTTTCAACTTTACAGTGATTTGGCCCACATTTTCGAGGTACGTTTTCTGTCTTAAAGCTGGTATTTCATAAGCTACTGATGATAACGTCTGTTACATTTTCAGTTTAACATCCTGTTAACAGTTTAAGACGTTGTCTATCAAAACTCAACAGATGTTCAGATGAATTTCTTACCTTGGTTGTGTGTTGCAGTCACTATGCAGTGATGTGTGTGTAACCTGCTGCTGAAGTAGAGTCCAGATAACTGAGACATCCACCTGTTTCACCTGTACCTGTACAAGGTTCTCTCTAGCCCCGCCCAAAGCCAGCCGTCATCCACAAAGACATGATTATCCACAGCAGGAATGAGTCACTCAGCAGTTTAGGTGTAGCTGTACTAGTCTTTTTTAACTTGTTCTTTGTTCTTGGCACTCTTAAATGTGAAAAACCAGTTCCACTCCTGCTGCTTTGTGTTTCAACGACAGTATCGCAGGCAATCACAAAGTTTTTGTGTTGGAATGTGACCAGAAAGCTACTAAGTTTGAGTGACATATGTTTACACACGTAATCACACACTTACTGTAAGTATGGACCAATATGACCATTTTCAGATATCAATTGTATTTGGATGAATAATTGTAAGCTCTGAATAGCTACTCTCACTAAACATAAGACAGACCTCATAAAATATCAGGATGCATTATGTATTTAAAAAGAAAAAGCTAATCCATCTGTTGAACTATATGACAGAGGGTTGGCAGAATGTAGCACAAACAACAGAAACACACTGAAACAAATGCACTTGTAAGTCGATTTTCTTATCTCACATACATCTGTCTACAGAAGGGATTTGGTGCAGGTAGGTGAACACTTGATAACCCCAGTGATGTGCTGGCTTTCACTGTCCGTCTCTCAGTGTTGTCAATATTTGGGAGCTTGCATAAAAAGAGCCTTGGTCTATTGAAGGTTCCAATGCTTTTTGGGTTGTCTTTAAAGGTAATGATGTAAGGAGGTATATAATGGGAAAAACAGTGAAAAGATATGCCATGTTTATTTATAAGGGGACCCAGTGGCAGCATTTATAGGGAGAACAAAAGAGGTGCTAAAACTGATCCCTGGGGGACACCACGTAAGGAAGGACAACAAGGAAATGGTATAACGCAAACTTACATTAAAAATTCTGTTTTCCAGATATGACTTTAACAAATGAAGGGGCTTGCCCCGGGATCACAGCCCAGTCTTTCAGCATTGTAATAAGCAAGTTATGATCAAACGTGTCGAATGCAGAGCTGAAGTCTAAAACTATTAAAATAGGTCAGTCCTTGTTGTTTGCTGCTAAAAAAAAAAAATCAATAAGAACTCTATAGGATCCGTTTCAGTACTGGGGTTTTCCCTAAAACCAAACTGTAGTGTTTCAAATAATTTAATTTAGTTGAAGAATGGTTCTATTTGTTGATAAACAACTTTTTCCAGGATTTTAGATAAAAACAAATGCTTGGAGATAAGTTTAAAATTAAAACAGATGTCAAGACCGAGGCTGGGATGTTTTAAGAAGAAGCTGAACCACTGTTTGAAATAGGAAGGTAAGAATCCTGTGGAAAAGGCAATTAGTATATAATTTGTCACTATGTGGCTAGCTTTTATGAATGGAGCCTGGGTCTGTTGATTGATTCACAAGGCTCAGGTTTCCATTAGTCTTTCAGCCTTACTCCTTTTATTTGTTGATGCTTGTTGTTTATCACCCTAGCACCAGGGCACATTAGACCCCAACTGGCCTTTACAGATGGTATAAAGGACCGAAAAAAGAGAGAAAACCAGGGGGAGTGGAGGGTTCCAGAATGAAAGCTGGCGGGGAAGGTTTGATGAGTATTTATAAGAAGAACACAAACAGTCACTCTGTCTTTACCTATTTTTTTTCTTGCCAGCCCCCCAAATAAAATTTCCACATTAGTTTGGGGTGAGCCAATGTCAAAATGATGCAGGAAATATTCAGTACAATAGTACCGAGGGAGCTGGGGAGGGTGATGACATTTGTATCCTGTGTTTGCCAGTATGTCTCTTCTCTTTCATTGGTACCATGAATATATTGAACTACACTTACCATTGATATAAAGGCAAAAATTGGGGCCATGAGGAGACTAAAGATTGGAAGACTGATTTAGTTAGGTAACCTGTCTTTGAATTAGGAAAGGAATCTAATAGTTGTTGGACAGGATTTTGCAGAGGGCTTCTGACAGAGTGTTCAGGAATTTTGGACCACTGTGAAATGACAAGAATGAACCTTGTGGGTATGAACTAAATTATCATAAGAAGTCATTGTGGGTCAGAAGACTTTAAACTATTGGTCGTGTGTGCTTTTCAGCAGCAACATTTTCCCAGTTGGTTTTTGTAAAGGCAATTCATGAAAGGCAAGATAAGGAGTATTAGATTTATGCAATTATCATTGATGGTCTGTATTTTGTATACTAGTGGAAAAGCGTAAAATTGATAGTTGAGCAACAACCGTTTGGAGGGAAAACTTCAATTAAGAATCAATTAAACTTAGGTATGCTTGGTGCTTGCAATGTGGAGTTTTCTTGTGAAGCAGGGAGAAGAAAGAACCTGGTAGTCAAGTGCCCCAGCTAAATCATCTGCTATGATTGCTGGAAATGAACAGGTATGGGAATGGGAAACCCTGTTGCCAGGTGAGTGAGCTAAAGCCAACTGCTATGATTGCTTGATGTAGGCAACAACGGGCACTTGCATCACAGCACCAAAGGGCCCAGGAAGTTGTGTCAGAAGCTGGGCATCCCAGGGCACAATGCCCCAACTCAAATACATGAGTGGCATTGCTGGAGATAGGGGCAAATCAATGCCAAATACTTAAGCTTTCTTGAAACTGTGCAGTTGCTTGGAATATGTTGAATATGTTGCAGATGTGCTGGCATACTGTTGGCAGATGCCTTACCATGAGGGAGGTGTTGCTGGTGTTGGAGGTTGGGGACAGGTAGATGTGGCATCCTGGTGTCATTTACTCCCTGCTTAGGTTGGCTAATGTGAGGCCAACATGATTGATAGAACCAGAGGGAAGGGTGGTGGAGGGTGCTCAATCTGAAGTGTTGAATGTGGATGAAAGTTGGTTGCTGAAGACCCTTTTCCCCTATGATATCCTCCAACCCAAAAGAGGAACATCAGTATCAAAGGGTGTTGCCTCTGCTAGTCATGTCAACTGGGTGAGGTGGAGGTGTGTGCATGTGCATGAGTGTGAGTCTGTGTGTGTGCCTGTGTGTTTCTGTCTGTCTGTGCAAGTGTGTGTTTGAAGGGCCTGATAGACAACATTCCAGGGAATTGACCAATCCCTATAGAGTTTTACATTCCTTAAAAGGCTGAGGTGTGTGTCTGTTGTGATGTCTTTTTTTGACTGGAACATTTTTAAGTGATTACAGCGCAGAGGTTGTTCCCTTTTCCCTTTAGAAGTATTGACACAATTTTAATGCAGATACTAATGAAAATGTTGAGGATTTGTAGTTCATATACAACAGTATACAAGCCTTATCTATGACACTTTTAGAACATAATATTTCAACCCCCTTTCTCTGCGGCCTGGCAACCCACAACAAGATTCAAGGAGTATGCGCACGACTGCAGTCTGCAGCGAGACAAACGCGGGTTGAAGCTATCCGAAAATGTGTCAGGACAGGATAGCTGACATTACGTTTTTGGTTCTCATTTTCATTGGACATGCAGAAGTGGGCTACTGTTTTAGTATTATAGAAGTAAAGTAAAAGAACACTTGTGGATAGAATTAAAAAAAAATAAAGAAATGCTTAGTATTGCCACAAATCTGAATCACTGAGGCAGAGACCCTATAACGGACCAACAGAAAAAAAAAACATTTCCACCTGTGCTATAACTATAACATGCACCCAGATATGGTGGATGAAAACATTTAAATGTATTGTGACGCCCCCTATTAAGTCAAAATTGTAATTAATAAATTACATAATAAAAAAATATTCTCTCTTTCATTTTTGCATGGGTGCCATTAGTGGAGAAGGATGGCACTAATGTGAAAATATGGGAAGTGAAAGTAAGATATTTATAATTGATATCAAATAAAATCTAAACCTTCTTGTTTAATCTCTAAACACTGAGATTTTAAAAAGTGAATCTTTAAACTGCAGACAGGTAACGAGGAAAGAGGAAGTGATGGAGAGAGCGAGGAGAAAGAAGGAGGAGGGTACAATCAGAAATATAAAAATAGCCTCTGACTCAGCGGGTTTATAAGCAGTGTTTCAATCAGACTGACGTCTTCGCCTTCTGCATCTCTTCCTAACTCTTTACTATCTCACTTGTTTCTGTTTGATTGAGTTTCATCTTATTGGCCCTTTCTCTACACAGCTTGTTACTGGCTTATTTAACTCCTGTTTTGTTTAAACACAAACTGAAACTTTTTTTCTAATGTGAATCAATTCCAAAAAATGAAACCGTCATCTAAATATTTATTTTTATCTTTGTGATCTAGATGATTTAACAAATTATACCACACTGCCAAGGATTTTTTAAATATTGTTAATGTTTTCTTTATAGAAAAAGTTCTCTTTATATTTGATGTTAGCGTAATTGAACCAGCCTTGCTCACATACAGTAAAGACACTGTTACCTGAAGAGACAACTGCCTGCCATAGCAACATGTATGTTCTAACAGAAGGTGTTTGTTAATGACTATCACCTTTAGGTATTTCATCGAGCAATGCTTCAAGGAGCGAGCCGATTAATAGTTTCCTGATGGTAAAGCCAAGTTCAGAAGGAAGCAAAAGCCATTATGTAATGTGTTTAATTGGTCTTAGCCTAAATTCACAATGTTATCTCAACCTGACATTGAGTGTGTTAACCAAGAAACATTCAAACAGGGGGAGATAAGAAAGCTCTTAGCCTGTCGTGAGGTTGACTGAAAGTTAGGGTGAGACAGCATGGCGACAGCCCCCTACAGTTACAGATGGATGACATTATTCAGGCTTCGTCCATTAATAATTACATTCATGGTATACATGTGACTTTTGGAGCCAGCCTCAAGTGGACAGTCAAAGAATTGCACTTTTTATCATTTCTGCAATGGCGTCATTTTTGAACCCCAGTGGTTACCACTTGACAAAACAACTTCCACAAGTTTTTTTTTTTTTTTTTTTTACAAATGTCCATGTATTCTAACCTAGATTCCTGGAAGAAGTTAGCAAGCCTAACACTCACAGCATTGAAGCTAGGCT